CAATATAACTGAAGTCCGTCCAATGTTTTGTCTTTTAGAATTAAGTTCTAAGATTATCCAAAAAACTTATATAGCGCATGTATTTGAACATTTTTGTGTTGTCTATTGCGATTGGCTATCTGTTTGTCGTGTTCTTTTTTAATCCAAAGTTTTGTTTATTGTTATTTAGTTTGTGATTCTAACGAAGATTTTTAACTTGTCTGAAATAATCATTTCTGGTAATGTTCTCATTATGTTTGTTATATTAGCTAATTATGCATTCAAGGCAATGTTTACCACAGATATGTTCTCTTGTTCAAATCAGTCTCTAAGAGCTGAGTGTGAGTGAGTGTGGGTGAATGGTTGAGAACTCACCTATTGTTTTTCTTCTTCTATTTCGAAAAATGCGTTTCATTGTAGCATTTTTTTAGTAATATCGAAATGTAGTATCATTGACCGATTTAACACGTTTCGGAAAATCATTCTTATCGCAACTATTTACATCAACAGAAAATACAGAGTACATTCCACATTGTTTCTTATTCATTTTTTCCTTTGTATTAACCCTCCTATTTTGATATTTACGTTACGTTGAGTTTTCTCTGAAATTTATTCTATTCTTCTTTCTCATTATTTTATCTGCCTTCCTTGTTTTTTTCCTTTACTTTTGTTGATTGTGTCAATATATCAAAACTAATCATTGATAGAAATACTTTGAACGTATAAAAACACAGTATTTTAGATGGCATTTGATAATGAATCGGGTATTATTGGTGTTTTGGCTCATAATTTAGCTGAGAAAACTTAACAATCCATTGATTCTGATTATGCAGACCAAAAATATATGAAATACCTACTGTATCCTGATGATAAATTTGATGAAATTGTAGATGATCATTTTCAACAAGGTTTGTATACGTATTTTTGCTTATCTATTTCAATTATATCGAATGAAGCATTTGTCCCTAATGTTCCAGTTCACGTTAAATCAGTTATGGATGAACGTACTGATGAATTTCCTGGATCTATGTACCAGTTCAGCATGAGTATTATGAATGGACTATTTCAAAACGTATCCATATTACCATGCTTTATATCAAACAATTAGTACTGGATTAATGATTTCAATATCATTTTGACAGAAGACTCTGTACAATTCATCAGTTTTCATATGAAACAATCTTATATATTCATATTATTTGTGCTAATCAAATTGAGATTTATATTTTTTGCTATATCAACTAAATCTCTCATAGTTTAGAATAGAATGATTTCTATAAATCTCTATAATAAATTTCTTCGTTATCATCATGTATTATCGTGTGCTATATGCTTATCAAATATTTAATATTTGCTTTAAAATCTCCTTTGGTTATCATTTGATCCAATGTTATTATACCCATTATATATATATAGAATACAATCGATAATTGACACACAAATTGGTTATTTATGATGATTGAAATATATTTTAACTTTCGTAGCGTATTTCTTGCTATTTAAATGATCTATACAAGACTGTTATTTACAAAGAAGGAAAATATGAATTAAAGTTTTGTGGACAAACAAATAGATCACATGTAATTAAAGATTTTATTTTAGCACAATTAAGACGTGTTCCATCATTGGTAAAAATTATTGGTCACAGTTGCTAAAGTTTCATATTTAATTTCAAGATTTGTCAAAGAAGGTAAACGAATATTTCTGTCAGACAGAAATTGTGTAACATAGTCGCTATGTGCTTCAATAAGATTGAGTTTGAACAGATGATTAAATGTAATCAATGTAGATGAATGATCTTGCTCATTTTCTTGTGATTCAAAATTATATATGATTAATTTTTGAAGAAAAGAAAAGTCTTGAGAGATAATTTTGAATAATTTACGTTTAAATGGACGTCTATCAAACATGAATAACATTCGAACTTTATCGAATTTACCACCTTGAAAACAGCTACTCATAAATAAAAATTCGGAGAATTGATATGGAAAAGAATAAACATGACAATTGCCTCTATTACAAATGAGTTTTTCATCGACACACGTATCAATTGAATAATATTCTCTTTTAATGAAGCTATTCCGAATGTCATCATTCAATAGAAGATGAATAGCCATACCACCGTTAACAATGTGAGTTTGTATATTGAAAACAAAAATTGTTTAATCGTGGCATATAATTAAAAACATCATTGCATAATTGATTCAGCTCTTATTACTAAAAGTTGTAATGCTAATTTTTCAAGATTTAACTTTCGACGAAGTAATGGAACAATCTGTTTATCATAATAACATGTATACCAGTCTGATACTAATGAAAAATATTTCAATGTCAAAAGATTTTTTTTGTAAAATAAACGAAACAATTAGTAGATTTCTAAGACAAATTTGTTGAAATGCAATGATTTCACGTATACTTACTGTATTATCTCTTCGTAATGTTGAACGGTTAATTTCCTTGATGCGAATGATCAATATAGATAAAGATTGGAAATATTCATTAAGAAGACAAAGACAATCAAGTATCACTAGCAATACAGTTGGTGTATTTACATTAGGTATTCCTGTTGTCTCAAAATGAATATTGGCAGTAAGATGAGTAATTTGCTCAACAATCCGATCTGCTATGTTAACTTAAACATAAATAAAAACATTAGTGATATTTATAAAATGAAATAAGATTCATGATCATACAAAAATGTTGCATGAATATATCTCGTTGATAATTGATCATTGATAATGAATGTAGATGAAGATAATCAGCGGCATTAAGAATATGTTTCGTGGAAAATGGATCAATAGTAAGTTTGGTTACTTTCTCATTAATTCGAGGTAAGACTTTCGAACAAAATTTTATTGAAAATGTGAATATCTACCGAAGAATCATGAATATTAGACCGTTCGATTACAAAATTGAGATGATGAATGTAGAGAGAATCGAATACTAATCGATCAAATCGCTGATTTACACCCACCAATGACTGGAATTTAATGATTATATTTCACTTCAATCATTCTCATCTTCTTCCACTACCTGTATATATATATAAAGGTTGTATCGTAGTTACATCAGTCGATGAAATTATAACTTCAACGGACAAAAGTAGCGAGGCTAAAAGTTCGTCACATGATTAAATTCATTTTTTATTTTCAAAACACTTGTATTGCCTTGATAGGCGTAACATTGACAAAATTTTCACAATGTATTTTGATCCGAGATCTTTTCCAACTTTGTACTGTGATTCGCTATTTTTACTTTAGCATAAAACTCATGGCTAAATAAAGATAAATGAAATGTCTAGCTGCAAGGAAACATCCTTTTTGAGACTACTTTCAATAGTAGAATTTCATATTCAAATGATGCATAGATAATACTGAAATTTATCATTAAAATGTTCAGTTACACGAAGATTTTGTTGAACTCAGTGTGAATCTGATTCTGTTCAGCATTTAAATTGTCCTTACTATTATGAAGTATTGTCCAAATCAGACGCGATAGTATATTAGAGACCTCGTTCATTTGTCACCGATTGAGAGTGCCATAAGAAAAGATTCATAATCATATAGACTATTATAAAAACAATGTTTGATTTTTCTGAATAGTTTCTTCTATGTTTATTCCATAAATAAGCGATAAAAATGTTTTAAAAATGAAAATGAACTTAATTTTCAATATTTTTTTAAACATCCTGAATTGATTAGTATTTATTTAGTATTCAGTTCAGTTGAAATAACTTCGTCGATCAGTGTAAATTTGATACCGCATATACAAAATATCTTTTTTTTTCTCACTGCTATCCGCAAGAATAATATTCATGCAATCATGTTAGGTGATGACAAATCCCTGATGTTATTTTTCTTTTTGGGCGAAAAAATAACTTGTGCGATCACTTTTTATAAAATAAACCACTCACAATATTTAAAACATTTTCCAAACGTTATAGACACAATAACAATATAAACAAATATAACATAATGTCCTTGACAAGTAAGATCAGGCTCATATGATGTTCGAAGTCTTATAACAATTTTCGCACTAAATGTAAATAACACAGTGTTCAATTTCTCGGTGTTTTGATGTATCATTATCTAGATTCCAAGTGAAGCAGATCACAAAATAATCCTGATTGTCAACAACTTTAACAAAGAAGAATATTTGTTATCAACAGAATTATCTGTTACATACGCTTTCTGTAATATTATTTGATTCTATAGCTTCATATTTAAAAACTCTGATGGGTTGTATTGTGCTGAATATATTATAATAGAAGCACTAGTTATAGAACAAAAATTTTGGCATATTCTTGGTTCGTACGTAACAAACTGTAATTTTTCGTTAAAACATTCTAAAGACATTGACAGTAATATGTACAAATTTATTTAAATCGGCATATTCTTGCAGATAGTATACAATTGATGCAATATTTTATGCATTTAGGGTTTGAATTGATTTTTTTGATTCGATCTTTTTTTAAAAATACGACTATGTTTGTCTAAAATTTTTCAATTTATTAATTTATTGTAAGTTTTAAAAGAAACTTTGCACATGTGTTGCAATGAAAATTTAAAATGGTATTATAAATGTATGACAACAATCTAAAGTCAGATGTTTCTGTTTGAAATTTACGAATAGATTTTGCTTTAGGAAACGATAATTCTATAGGGTATACGATAATGGAGAAAAATACTATGTATATTTAAAGATCATTCAATAGCGTCATCTTTTCATAAAAGGAATATTTCATTTTGAAAGTTTACTTATTTTGTCAGTATCTATTTAATAAAATGAAACTTGTATATTATGTAATATTAATATTAAAAATTTTTCTCTAAATATTCTGATAGACTTCTGTCTGTATTATACCAAAAAATGTTTTATATTCGTTATTTAACGACTATATGATTTCAAATAGTTCTAGCACTATATTCATATACAAAGAAAGAAAGAAAGAAAGGCAGTTCGTTTATATTTTCTTTTAGAAAATTTTATCAATTGATTATTTTACTAATTCAACATTAACAATGTGGTTTGATGAAGATCAACAAACAAAATCAAATGATAGAGTAATAGAAGAAAATTCATCTGATGAAGAAACAGAAAAATGTACTTGTCATAAAGGATGTTCAACTCGATCTTGTTCTTGTTTTAAAAATGGTAGTGGATGTAATTCATCATGTGGTTGTAATGGAACATGTCGAAATATGTTCAATCATCTTGAATATTTTTTTGGTAATGATAAAAAATATTCTGCTCATCCATGTTTTGCACAATGGCTTAAGAAAACTGTAAAAAATGCTGATGCACTTCAAATGATTGATCGAGAAAAATTACGTCAACGTATTATTAAATCTGAAAAGTAAATTGCTTTTTTTTCTTTTCTTTTCTTCATTAAACTTTCATCATATAAATTCTTAGCTATCCGGAAATGTTTGGAGATTATGATAATTCAAAAGAATGGAAGAAAAAAAATGAAAATGAAAAATTACTTGATACTCAAAGTTTATTTCGAAATCTTATGTCAGATGAAGCAACGGATCTTTATTATTCATTTTGTCAAGATGATGTTTGTGATAGTGATAATGATTGGCATTGTGCTATATGTCGACGATGTATGGATTGGAGAGTATGGCATTGTGATAAATGTAATAAATGTATGTAATAGTCAATAATCTTTATTTGAATATATTTAATTTTTGTTTCTTTCTATTTTTAGGTAGTTGGGGTTCTAGTTTACCATGTGAACGATGTGGAGATAGCAATAGTGATAGTGAATTATCTGATTATTTTTAAAACATTTATTTAGTTGTTTCGATGTTGATATTGTTTTATTAGTTTTTTTTTTTTTTATGAAACAAAAAAAAAACAGATTTTGTTGTATTTACCTTGATTATGATTAGATTAAAGAATAAATGAACGAATAGGGTTGTTAATAAAGTGATATTTTGTTTCTTTGAACAAAATAGTCGTTTACCTACAGAAAAAAATTTTTGAAAAAAATCTCGAATTCAAATTAGTTTAAAAAGCATATGATTATAATCGATTTTTATCCTGTTTTGTACATAGTAACAATTTGCATCTACAACAATCTCTATCCATACTCTTAATTAATAAACAATCATAGATCAAAATAGATTAACACAAGATATTAGTATATTTTATTTCATGGATTCTTTGTTTTTTTTTTCGACACTTCTCGTCAATTCATTGCTGTTATCAGAAAGATTTAATTGTAAGTCTTTAATAAAATTTCAAATGTTTATTTTTGATATTTTTATCAAATTTCGTGTTGCGAAACAGAGACCGAATCGTACGGGTCCGGTTTGACTTAGTCCAGATTTTACCTCTTAAGTACCTTCCCTCTCTCAAAACAAGTCGATTTTGGTCTAGTTTATCGATTTTGTGATTTTTAGTGCGTTAGATAGAGCTAAATGTGTATTTTCGAATGTACTATAGTTTATTAGTTTTATGTTAAGATATAAGGGCGTTACAGAGATTTTTTAGAACTCATTCATGCAAAAGAAAACACTATTTTTTCTAAAAAATTGATAGTGATAGGTATCTCTGTGGATGTGGGTATGTTCATAGGATTCATTCTACTTATATAGCAAAAAGTCTTTAATTTCAATATTAAAACTTATTTTGCGTTTTTCTCAAAGTAGAATATTCAACTTTTGTATTTCCGTGCATCCCAGAGTTCTTCACCAATCTAAACGCTAAAAAGTTGAGGTTGATGTCAAAATGTAGATAAAGCTAAGCTTTACAACTTAATAGAGCCCGATTTTCAAACTCGTCCCTCAACATTTGCTAAGAACTAGCCGATATCAAGAACTCCCCTTGATTTTCCGAATTGTATCGGAGAAGTTTTCTAGAAATCCAAGGTAGAAAAACTGTCTCTGTTAAGTTGTTGAAGAAGTTTCTTTTGTAGTTCACAAATTCTAAATAGAAATCATGCAAGAACTGACAATAGAATGAATTCTAAGACACAGTGACTCTAAAAGCAAAGAAATCTCTACAGTTATAGTTATAACATGTTTTAAGTTTTCAAATGACATAATAAAAAATACATAGAATTTTTTTTTTAAATTATTATAGGTCATATTAAAATTCGGATATAGAGAAGAGTGATATAGATCATGAAAGCAGATAATGTGAGCTGTTGAACTATATACATATGATTGGTTGAGGTATTGTCGTGGTTTTACATAATTTAAATTTTGATACAGAAGCATCTCCTTAAAAAAAACCTGTAAAATTCATTCTTTTCAATTACAAGTTCTTCTACGGTATGCAACAGAATTTGATAAAATATATATCATTAGATAGAGAAAGTCTTCCTCTACAAACCTACATATATCCCATTGTGTAGTCAAATCCTTATAGTCATCTTTTGTTTGTCTTTGATATAAATAAATATTATTCTGTTCAAAATTCTCTGTGCAGCTAGTTCTTTTTGAAATTATACATATTTTATATTCATTGTGTAATATAATAGAGGGCGTGGATTAAGCAGTCTGCATAATCTGCAGAAGTATTTTATACCTTTGTTCAATTTATGAGTTATATTATATTATTTTATCTTAGATATGGAATCAATGTCTGTTAAAAAGAAGACTTACGCTCATACCCAGTTTGTTTCTTTCCTGCCTAAACAATTGGAAATTTATTTGTTTTTAGGATGTAAATGTGGGTGTGATTGAGAGCATAAATACTGATGAAAGTAGAAACTCTCACATTTACGACCCTCAAGATGAGAAGATAATAAAAATCCTATATTGTGGCATAATCTGAATAATAATCATTTCGAATATGATAAATCCAAAGGCAACAATACCTGTGATAAATAAATTACGATTGAATGAACTTCTCTGGTCTTTTGTGAAACACGATCTAAAAGGAGTGTTGTTTCGCTCAAAAAAGAATTAAAAAAAAAGTAAGATCTTAATCGATTTTTGAGCTTTATTGTCATTTCGACTAATTTTTAATTACAAAAGTGCTTTTCTGGAGACTTGCATGCAAATTACCGAACATTCTACGTTATGACTAATGTCGATTATAATATCTCATCTCTTTTCTCCATAAAAATCCTTGTTATTTATGTGCATAATTGGTTGTTTTGTTTAGGGATTTTGATAAAATGAAAACTTTCGTTTTTAGTTCTTAAAATAAAATCTTCATTAGAAAATAATATTGTCAATATTAAAGTGTAATAATACAAAATAAACGATTTAAATGTAGCGAATCTACTAATAAGTCGACTTCTTTTACGATTAAGATCAATGATCTATGAATATTGATGAATTATTTAGATCAATTCTAATTTTTTGGATTCAAATCAATGTTTTTTTTCTTCAAAAAAATGGATTACAACTAAAATGACAATTCTGCCACAAAATTTCTTTCATTCTTCACAATATCAGTATAGAATTTTCAATAGATCTTTTTGTTGAATTTTAATATAATCTATCAAATATAAATACAAGAAAAATATGTTTTTTTTTTGTTTATCCTATAACAATAACTGAAAATATAAACAGCTAACAAATCTTTTATGTTCTAAAAGAAACTAAACATTTCAATATTTTCCACACCTTTCACATGGCAAACTGGCACCATAAGTACCTAAAAAAAATTCAAATTATTATTAATATATTCGAGTATTATTTTCTTTGTTTTTTTATGAAATACATACATTTATTACATTGTGTACAATGCCATTCTCTCCAACTCATACATTTTTGACATGTTCTACAATGCCAATGACAATCATTTTCATAAATATTATTTTCACAAAATGAATAATAATATTCTGTTGTATCATTCGCTAGAAGCATTTGAAATAATTGTTGCATATGAACTAATTTTTTATCTTCTTTAATTGTTTTCCATTCTTTCATCCATTCTTCGAAATCTTCATCATCTTCTGATATACCGGAATATCTAATAATTTACATATGACATGAGTATATATATAAAAGAATTAAATAAACAAATTATTTACTTAAAACATTTCATAATACGTCGACGTAATTTATCACGATCAATCATTTCAAATCCATTGGTACTTGTAATATTTTTGTCAAGCCATTTAGAAAAACAAGGATTAGCAGTACATTTTGTATTTTCACCGAAGAAATAATCAAGATGATTGAACATATTTTGACAAGATGTACTACATCCACATGATGAATTACATCCACTACCAAATTTAAAACAAGAACAAGAATGTGTTGAACATCCTTTAGTACAATGACATTTGTCTTCTTCTTCATAATTTTGACTTTTCTGTGTTACTTGTTCATCCATGAAATCTGAATTTTCATCCGACTGCATTATTAATTATATTTGAATTGTACAATTGATATAGAATATCTTATTAAATGAAAAGAATATATTTGAAATTTTAGTTGTTAGATATCGAATACAACGTTCTTCTTATTCCCTCCTTTTTAAACTTCTTATGGACACGATTCGGTATAATGCAGACAGTCAATTAGAATGTTGATCGATTATTATTTTCTATGGTAATTATGAACATAGGATATTCTTTATATTGTTTCATATCAGTATATATCTATAAAAATAAATAAATTTTTGAAATGAAATAGACTGTTAAAATTGATTCCTTTCATTGAGAGATGACGCTATTAAATGATCATAAATAGAAACAATAGTTGTTAACATGATCAAAGTATGTTTAACTTGAGGAAAAATCTAATTCTCATCTGTGTAAAAGGAAACTTGTCAGTGCGGTCCCAAGAGGGGCCGAAATGTGAAACTCATAAACTCTGAGCGTTATAAATTTAATATATATTGTCAGAGGTTTTAAAATAAGTTATTAAAAATAATACTAAATGGATGAATAAATCAGAATTATGACAATTTTTATACTTGATACGTACGCTCTGAAAGTTTATTTTGTTGAAACTATTCATATTTATTACTTTTCTATCAGATTATTTGATTCATTTAACGGTTACCGATCACAGAAAGAAATCTTGTTTTTTGTTTATCTTATCTTATTTTTATAAATATAAAGACTTTACTTAAATTTATCTTTTTAAATAAAAATAAAGTAACACCCCTATTGCTAACAAATTCTTATCTTGTCATCGTAGAAAAAGTCATATATGCCGAGTCGATTTTTTGAGTGCAAATGTATATCATATATCACGTGCTGCTAGAAACGTGAGTTCGTCTAATTAATAGTTGCTATCGTGTGCATTCAACCATAAATAGCACTCCAGAAATGACAAAATGCAAAGAGGAGTGATGATTTAATTATGACGATATTAAATATTATGCATATGAGTCAGTATTTTTACGACGTTGGCAAAGGAGGAAGAGAATGAAAATTAAAAAAAAGTATTGTATCGAACTATTTAAGGAGAAACCCTCGAAGAGTACGAAATCAAATCATTCTCTCATTCTATTCGCTAGATCGAATCATTACACTTGATAACGCCTTCGAAAGTAAGTAACGACCATCCATTTCAAACAAAAATTTTTGATTGTGAGAAAAATTTAACAAGTATCATTTCAACCAACGGTAAATTCTCATTGTCGAAAGTAAATTTACTCGTGTTTTTGGAAAATGAACTCGCTTTAAGATGGAAGAAGAACCGCGTCGAAAGCCAATTTTCTTGACTTAACCATGATTTGGAGCACTAGTGGATTTATCGTACTGTGATTAGGGCAGTTTTAATAATCTATAGCATATACCTAAAATACGATTTTGAATTAGAGCTGTCACATTTGCGTTAAATTAGTAAGTTCTTAGTAAGTTCGACTAACTTAAAGTAACGTAAATATGACACCCTAGGATGAACCTAGGGCTGTCACTTTTTACTTTAAAGAAAACTTAATAACTCACAAGTTAGCAAGTTAGCCAACTTACCAACAAATAAATCAGTCAGTTCCTTACAAATAAGTCATACTTATTAAATTTTGCGTGTAAAAGTCACACTAACTAACTAATCTAACTTGGACTAACGTAGAAATGTCAGCTCTAATTCGAGGCTGGTATTATATTTTTTATGGGTGTGAGTGTGTGTGAAGAGTGAAATATTACGAACAACCATATTCACACTTGCATCTACCCACATCATAGATCCTAATATCCCATGTACTGAACTCACCTTTCGCATGAATAAACACCAAAGCTTAAGCTTCATATTCATACAAAAATGTCGAGAATTCATCATGTATTTGAAAAGAAACTGTACCAACTTTTCTTTCGACATAATGCAGTGTTTGAAGCATTAATGGTAATAGTACAGACGATAAATACATGGATCAAGTATTGACAGTCATTATGGTATACTAAGACCAGAGTTAAGATCAATAAGAAAAACATTGTATCGAACTATTTGAGGATGCACAAGTATGAATCTTGTCTTCACCAACTCCCACTCATCCACCTTCAAAATATGGACTCAGAAGCTATGAGTCTGGTGGAGACCCTCGCTTCATATTATTTTCTTGGAAATCGATAATGAGCACATTTCTTTATTGAAGCTATCAGTGCTAGTTCAAAGCACTATCTTTCAATGATGTTCATATGAAAAAAAATTATCAACCCTTCCCGATCACAGAGAAAAAAATTGACCCGATTGATTTCGGTAGAGGGAAGACATTGAATTTTATTATTGTAATGATATTTATCGAATATCCTGTGTATCAACATTTGTCAGTGATGAGCAATTGTGCTCGTCCTCAAAAAAAACCACTGGGTCATGACGTTTCGAGAACTTGGTAATTGCCTAGTGCTCCGTTCCCGCCTACGTTACTCGATGAACTTTACTTCTTGATATAATTCGAATAGAATTCTCGTAAAACTGATAAAAAAGACGAAGAAAAACATATCTGTGTAGAAACAGCCATAAAAATGTTTTTGAACCTATTGAATGTTATTACAGTTAGATGCCTTTGACATTGCTCTCCCAAATGGTGAAAGCTGCAGGTCCTTATGAGGCATTGCATGATAGGGACGAGGAATTCTGCTCAAATGATGTCATCGATTTCAACAAAACTTAACCTGTATGTGCCCCACATAAGTTGTGAAAACGCCAAAAATTCTGTGTTCTAAAACCGTTCCATGTTCAGATAATGAAACCACAATAGAGGCACCCTCAGGTAAAAAATGACGATAACCAATGCATTATCAATTCATTATGTATTTTGCTACTTTTGTAACAAAAATGCTGTTAGTCATGAAATTTTGTGAATATATACTAACGCAGGTACTCTACATACTGACACAGTCAAAGCTAGTTTCCAACGAGTTAAGCACTAGTGAGGTATTTCATCGGTCCTAGATATATCCTCTACCTTGTAGCCAAAGTTTCTATTACTTATGACCGATCTAAGATCTTCCACTTTAGAATTAAGTGCTACTGACCCATAGCCATTAGCAAAAATCTTCAAAATTTTGTACCTTTGCTCTTGACTCGAACAAAAACTTTTGTGGTCTATATGTGAGCTGATTTCGGTAAAATTACGATCAATTTCAGAGTAGTTGCTTGGCCAAGGTCGTCAAATTTTGTTCAATTCAAGATATGTTGTGGAGAGAAAAGCTTTACAAATTTTGATGAAGGTCGTTTTAAAAACAAATTGAGCCCTTACTTTTTTTAATGACCCGCTCAGTATAGGAAAAATCCATATTTTAGGTTGATTCAGTGTTTCATGGCTCGTGACTGGAACGGGATAAAGAACTCAAATTTTTATTGAAGCTAGAGTTTAAAAAGATGTGTTGTAATTCGAAACTAAAGTGCTGCAAACCCTTCGTTTCGATCAGTAAGACCCTCTCAAAAATCGGTTTTTGACGGAAATTCCTATGTTGTACCAAGATCGAGTGTAGGGTGTGGGTGTAGGTGGCGACGTGGGACATGAAGAAGATCTACAGTTACAGTCATAGGCAAAGTCACATCCACACTCTACATGGTTAGAGATATATCTATATTCTCATATCATGTATGTTCTTCCTTAACTATTGTCTCATCGCAGATTGAAATAGTTCCTATGGATAATAGCGTTAAATTGGTCAACTACTTGCTTCGTAAGAACAATGTTGTCGTCGATGCAAATGAAGAGCCGAGATCAATTCCAAATGCGCAAAATGCAAGAAACATTCAGAACAATACTATTGCTCGAATGAAAAATTTCACGATTCGACAGAAAATGTAAGAGTTTTTCTTCTGGTGTCAAATATCATTGTTGTTGCTCTTTCCTAGGAAATTTTGTTGCTGTTCAACACTTAAAAAAAGTACCAAGCCTGGCTTTGTGCTGCCTACGATTACAAGTATATTTACGATCATCGGTATAACGATAGTTTGTTTAACTGCACCAAATCCACCAGGTATGTCCTTGTTGTTTTACATTCTTCGTATTCAATACGATAAAAATCCACCGGTAATTCGATTCTGTTTTACCAATATTGTGAGTTTTGGTTAAAAAATTCTAATTGTGATAAAATATTTGATATCGACATGTTCAAAGCAAATCATCCAGCGAGGACAGAATTATAAGCATTACAACTACTTCATTTTTTTCATTTCAAATTAGTACTGACGAACACGAACCAACCAAGGTGATCATCACCAGTAGATCTGATATTTTGTGCATAAATCGGACCATTCTATTCTCCTTATTGGTGGGGATTATAGATTAGAAAAGAATTCCAGAAAGATTCATCCCATTGTCGCTTTGTTCTAGAGGAACAAGGATAATAAGTTTCTCTAAGACAGAGATTATTGCGTTTTGTATATATATATTTTTCATATCTCAATAAAGCAACAATTTCACGACCTGATTTTTTTACAAACTGATGTTATACATTGTTACTTGTAGTAGAAAGATCAACTTTATCTTATTCAATGTTCTTGAATCACTACTACTATTATTTTTGGTGGCATTCTTTCAACCTTCTGAATGAAAACAGCAGTTTATCTTGAATTTCTTTTGCTCTATCTCATCGATATTTTCTTGGATATAATAGAAATGCGAAAGAATAAGAGAATATACAAGTGATTTTCTCATAGAGCGTGCCGAAAGTAAATATTTCTTCTGTACAGTACACATCTCCTTTACATAGTGTCACTTTATGTTGCCTGTAGAGGAGAGCTAGCAGTATATGTGTTCCATCTACATCTTCTTTTATTCTGCTATCATGTTTGAACTAGTATACTTGCTCTTTTCTTGTATGTTCAGGTACATTCGTTTTCTTTTTCTTTCTTTCTGTATGGTTCATGTGTGTTCTCTCGTATTTTCTATTGAGTTCTCATCTCTTTATTACATTCTAGTGAATTTTTTCCGTTACCACTCTTTGAAACTATAAAATTTTGTATGTATGCCATCAAATAATAATTCTATCTGATTGATAGCTGGTTAGTGGTCAATTATCTTCAGAAAGTAAACAGATAGTAAGTACATGTCTCGATAATAAAAATGAGTAATCCTCACGATATCTTGGAATTATTATTAAACTTGACATCAGATAAATTATTCTGTAATTCACTACTTTCAATCAGTTCTAGCAAAGAACAAATTGTATTTAATCTCTATAAATGTTGGGATTATACTTTGGAAAGAATATCTCATATATTTGAAATGAAGACGATCTTGAATCATGATGACAAATTAGATGATCAAGATTTAGAAGATCTCTTACCATCAACATCCACACATCACCATCTTGGTGAGTGTTAGTGTGTGAAATGTAGATAGTTTCTCTTCTCTAAATTCACACACCCACTCCTGCATCATAGCTGCTCAACCTATGATAAAATACATCTGGCGCAAAAATCTTTTTTGAAAATTAAGATGGACTGATGATTCTTAGTTCTTCGTGAAACAAGAACAGTGATTCACTCTTTTGCTTTAACTGTTATCATCATGAGACTAATCAATAATTTTCTTGATCCTTTATTTCATTTTATTTTCTTGTTAAGTGAAAAAGTTAGTTAAAAATCTTCTATTTTTATGTCACAGGTAACGATGAGTAATATTAGTTTGTACACTGCAAATTCGTGAACATGTTTCTTTATTGAGATATGAGCAATACAACGAATGCTTTTGGAGTTTTTTCCTACGCTGTGAGTTCTACAAATGAGAAAACTATGAGCTCAAACAGAGAGTATCTAGGAATATGATATTCGCATTATTATGGTTACCAGTACGCGGTAAATAGTACTTGTCAGTGAGGGGATATTGACCCGTTTGATTATTGCCTCAAAGAAATCCAGTTGTATGAAAATTTCAATTTTTTTATCAACTTTGAATATATGTCTTTACCAAAGAAGAGGCTCATAAAGAGGGCAACTCGACTGACTTCGGAATTCTCAAAAGAAGTACATATTTCGGTGCAGAATGAGACTATAAATCATTTAATACCACGTTCAAACTATTTGGAAAACGATTCAATGGCGTCTAACCCAGATTGCTATATCATATTGTTACTGCATCCAGGTGGCTGTATAGTGTCAACAAGTTTGTCAAAGTATCTCTTTGCCTGTCTATAAATAGGCTAATTTGAAAGAGCGGCAAATTCTGCACAAATTCTTCGATGAATCATTCAGAAATAGTAAACATAAGCTGAATTTATGATGAGCCAATAGTGTTTCTATCGATATTTTATGTACGTCATGAAGGCTTAGGCTTCTCAAGTGTTTTCAAAGCGGCTTTACAATGGACTTATTAGCTAAAATTGTTCGAGAGTTGATATTGCCTCATCAAAACAAAAACTGATTATGTGATTTTTCGGAACGGATCTAAGATGACTAGTGGAGGTTTGTCATCTGTATATTTATGATATTCACAAGAAAATTGTGCCAGCGTGTAGTCCGTCAAAGGTTGCATCAAATTCTTAAAAGAAAGATTCACCATAAAGCTCTTTAGAAAGAAACTGAGATGGGTGAATCTTTGTGACGTACTCAAAATTTCAATAGAAACACTATTAGTTCACCATGAATTCAGCTTATTTTACTATTTCTGGATGATTCATCGAATAATTAGTGCAAAATTCGCTCCTCTTTCAAATGAGACTATTTACAGACAGATGAACAAATGTTCTCACAAAGTTATTGTTAGTGTACAGCCGTTTGATCGCCAGAAATCATCGAATCGCTTTCCAAATAGTTTGAATGTGGCATCAAATGATCTGTGGACTCACTCTGCATCGAAATATATACCAGTTTTGAAAATGCCTAGGTAAACTGATTCGTCTTCTTATTGGTCTCCATCCTTTATTGATAGCCTTTCGAAATGTATGGTCTTGAGATTTGAACTCTGAAGACTGTTTCTTGATAATTAATAACGATACTACAAAATTTAAGGAACCATGAGCTAACGGTGATTCGCCTTCTCAGCTCTCTGATCAAATGCAAAACACTTATTATTTACCACTTACTGTTGTATGGTACTCGCTACCATCTAATACTTGCCTAACTAGTAGTAAATGATGAAGACTATGGCGCAACAATAAATAACCTATGGTTATGCTAAGCATTTATTACTACTATATAGGAGATTTTTCAATCATAAAAACACTTATTGTTACTTTGGTAAGTGGAAGTCTAAGTACCGGTAAACGTGACACTCCTCAGGATATTAGTTGATTAATTTTCTTCATTAATGGATTTTTTGTAAGTTATACCTGTTATATTCATATTTCCTAGTAGCTTACAGTGTACTGAAAAGGTTAGATAACCCTTCGGACTTGATCATTTGAAGAAGAAGGTATATCTTTTTCGTTGAAATTTTCAAAATATCCTAAAAACTACATAGCTGTGATAAGCTACATCTAGCAACAAATGAATCCAAGGATGACAAACGAGAATGATCAGACAATAGGGAATCACAGGTCTCGATAGGCAACATCGAAAATGAATAATCACTCAATTCGTCAGGCAAATGTTATTAATAAAAATTCGTTGAACTATCCATTGTATATTCCAAGATACAAATGAAAAACATTCATGACGCAATTAGAGGATTGTTGCAACACAACGTCATTAGCATTCTTTTGATTTCGAAACGCTTTAGAATTTTTGCTATTACGGTATATTTGTACCCGATGACATGCCATAGAAGAACCTGTAAGATAGAGATGATAGTAGTTATGGTCATATGGTTAGAATCAGTCTATGGTTCTTAGTTAAATCATATTAGTTGCAATGCCTGTTGTCTAACAGTCACTATACGCTTCGTGAACGAATTGTCAAGGAAATGAAAGAGAGTGTACAATGAGTAATCTGAGTGATGAGTTTCGCGAGACTCAACGACATTCTTCTGAAAAGTACTAGTTTCTATCCGGATTGATACAATCCACTAGGGATTGTTGGACCATAGTAGCTAATCAGTCTTTATTTCTTTGTTGTTATTTTACTTAGTTCCAAAATGTGAACTTAATTTTAAAGCAACGGCTCGAAATCCTATTGACTATAAGAGTGATCTACGATCTGTCGCCATGGGTGACTTTAACAACGATACCTGGCTAGATATTGCTGTTGCCAATTACGCTGCCGACAATATAGCTATATATTTTGGATATGGCGATGGCACTATGATAAGCCCAGTTACGTATTTGACCGGTCCTGGCTCTGCTCCGCGCATGGTCGCTGTTGGTGATTTCGATAACGATCTTCGACTGGATGTCGTCGTCGCAAATTTCGGTACGAATAGCATCTGTATATTTCTTAAATTCCAAAATGGAAATTTTGTGAATCAAACAGTTCTATCAACTGGATCATCTCGTCCAGTTTGGATCCACGTAGCAGATCTTAACAATGACACAGCATTGGATATTGTCAGTGCTAACTACGGCACACACAGTGTAAGCACATTTTATGGGTATGGAAATGGAAGCTTTTCAAATCCAAGCACATACTCTACGGGCTATGACTCTTTTCCGTTTGCGGTTGTCAGTGGCGATTTCAACAACGACAAACAGATGGATCTTGCTATCGCTAATTATGGCACAAACAATGTTGGTATACTACTTGGAACTAGTAACAATACTTTCGCGAATCAAATCACATTCTCAACTGGTCTGAATTCCCATCCATACTCACTTGCTGTTGGTCATTTAAACAACGACACTATGCTAGATATTGCCGTCACCAACTATGGAAATAACAGTGTAGGTATATTTCTGGGTCACAGTAATGGAACTTTTGTGAGCCAAGCGACATATTTCCTCAGTGGTGCTTCTCCATATTCTATTTGTATTGGTGACTTCAATAATGACAACCGAATGGATTTAGTCGTAACTAATAATGGCACTAACAATACAGCTCTACTTGTCGGATATGGCAACGGCACTTTTGCCAGTCCAAAAATGTATTCAACTGGATCTTCTTCATCAATCTCCATTGCCATAGGTGATTTAAACAGAGATAATCGTTTAGACATTGCTGTCATCAATAATGATACGAATACCATAAGTATCATGCTTGGTTATGACGAGTTTTTTCCAATACAAACGACATATTTAACTGATCGTGCCCCATACTTTTTAGCTCTTGGTGATTTTAATAATGACATCGAACTGGATATCGTCGTCGCTAATCAGTTGAACAATACTATAAGTATCCTTCTCGGATATGGAAATGGTTCTTTTGCACATCAAGTGACGTACTCAACTGGCTCTAAACCGTTGTCTGTAGCTCTTGGGGACTTTAACAACGATACTCAACTAGATATCGTCGTTACTAATGCGGATAACAACACTGTAAGTGTCCTTCTCGGATATGGCAATGGCTCTTTTGCAAATCAAACAACATATTCAACTGGTTCTGCACCATACTCTGTAGCTGTTGGTGATTTTAACAACGACAACCGACTGGATATCGTCGTCGCTAATTGGGGTGAAAATACTACAAGTGTCCTTCTCGGATATGGCAATGGTTCTTTTGCAAATCAAACGACATATTCAACTGGCTTCGGGCCACAGTCTGTAGCTGTTGGTGATTTTAATAACGACGTCCGACTGGATATCGTCACCGCTAATTTTGGTGACAACACTATAAGTGTACTTCTCGGATATGGCAATGCTTCTTTTGCAAATCAAACAACATATTCAACTGGCTCTGGGTCACGCTCTGTAGCTGTTGGTGATTTTAATAACGACAGCCGACAGGATATCGTCGTTGCTAATTTCAATGACAACAATGTAGGTGTACTACTTCGGTATGACAGAGGAGCTCTGAAAGACAAAATCACATTTGCATCTGGCGATGGTTCTCGTTTACGAAGCTTTGCTGTTTTTGACTTCAATAATGATAGCCTACTAGATATTGCTGTTGCCAACTATGGTACCAATAACATCAGTATTCTTCTTGGACATGAGAATGGCACGTTTGGAAACCAAATGATGTTTTCAACGGGCTTAAATTCTCATCCTTACTCAATGGCTATCCATGATTTTAATAAAGACGGTCAAGCAGATATAGCCGTAGCGAATTATGGTAGTAAAAAACTTGTTGCATTTCTGGGCAGTGGGAACGGAACATTTGAAAATCAAGCGAGTTACGGTGTAAATTTCGATTTCGCTCCATTGATGGTTGGTGCTGGCAGTTTCAACAAAGATGGACGTTCAGAAATTTTGGTGTACGGATATTATGTGATCAAGTTTGTAGTCAATTTATCATGATTTCGAATGATTTTTTCACATAAGGCGTGATCGTTTGAGCAAATTTGTCGATTTATTGGCAATAAATGGAATATCTGACAAATTTCAAAACTTTAAATGTTATTATTTTTGGCAATATGATCACCTTTCTCTGAAGACCACTTTGGAGAATAGAATATAGTACAGATGACAGTGTTGTTAATGTCTTTTACTGAAGAGATCACTTTGAATATTTATGCAATAGCATCGATTAAGTTTGCCAACGCCATACACGCTGATCGTTGTTAAACTTGCATCGATGAAAAGGGTAAGACGACTTTCTTAAATCAGTACGATGCAGTTAACTTTTTCACCGGTATGCATGATACTTCTTTGAACAGAAGATCAAGTTGATGGGAATTCTATTTCATTGATTTGAAGATATCATATACCATCTATGAAATGTGTCTGACTTTTCAGCAAAGAGGACGAGTAATATTTAGATTGAAACTTACACTGGATTGTCCAATGAGAAATTCGCATTATCGTCAGCTGTGTTTTGCAATTGCGCGACTAGGAGTGTCAGAGCTCAAATGTCAAACATGGTACAGGTTAGGTACACTTGTTGCATAGATGGGGGACAATAATGGACTGCACAAATTTTAAATAATGCAAGAGACTCTAAAAGAAAACTAATTTCATAAGATAACTTCTCGTGAGAAGGGCTGTGTTTGATGTTTTTTGTCCAAGAAAGGAATTGATCTGTTCATTTTTCAGACAAAGAAAGATTATAAATAAACCATTTTTCAATACAATTCTATCTCACGAATAAGGATTAGTGAGTTTCCATGGAATAAATATCACCTATCGATACTAATCGGCTAAGCCTTATACGGAAACGTATTCACCATCTTGTTTAGCCTTCTATAAGTTCGTATTGGAAGTTTATAACTATATAAAATATTCGAATTTCATTTTCACTAGTTTCTCTATACTGTGTATCTTTTAGATGGTATAATTAACATAACAATGAAGTTTAGAAGCAAATTGAATTATCAGCAATTTAAATTTATTTGGAATTTGAAAATAAATTATAGATAGTTTAATTTATTTTATAACAAAAGAGGGGCTCACAGGAATCTGATTCGGTCCATTGAATCTTTTTTGCCTCCTATATCATTGAATGATACATTTAATGAAAGAGCACAATGTGGTGAATATTTTAATAATAAATTTGATATGCTTCAGTAACATTTCAATGAGTTTCTCTGCACCCCGATTATGAAAAACTTGAGGCATAAATTTGGTGAAGTACATGGACAATATGTGACATTGTTAAAATAGGATTACAAAACTATGAATCATGGTTGGAAATGTAATCAACAAATCTTGACTCAGACTATTTTTCATAGAACCAAATTGTCTTGTAAACAAAAGTGATTTTACACTCTGAAAGACTTGGCTACTAAAGAATGGCGTGGATACGAAATGGAATAGTACGTTCAAGAGTCTGCAAACCATAGGAGCTTGAGGACTTACAAACGTAGAAGTAAAAGACCGCTACAGGATATCTATTTTCGAAACTCTGAAAAATACCTATTTTAGCTTGCAGCTAGCCGAAAATAGTGGGCAACCAAGTGGGCATTAGGTGAAAAATCGAAAATGTACTTTTGCAAAGTTCAAAAAGTGCTACATGCATCTTGAACTATGAACTATTTAATGGCGTAAAAATCTTTCCTACAAAGTTCAAGTAGAGTGGTAACTCAGCTAATTAAAAATCGTCTTGAAAATAGAAGCATCTATGCAATACAATTTTTTTTCTGAACCCACTGACGTGACAATTGAACACAATATATATTATAAATTTGAATAATATCCGTTGTCGATTAATAAAAACAGTTGTCAATTTACTACTGAAAGTTCCTGAGAATCAAGTTTTTTTTCCATTATGGTTTTCCAAACGATTATATGAGTAAAATGAACATCCTCGTCAGTCCTGAATTTGAAACTTAATCAAGCTATGCCAGAATGTTCTTCCATGTTATCTATCACTATAGTTAACATAAATTAGCATAAATGTTTCTGGATCCTATAGAAGGCTTTCGAAACAGTCGCGGTTTTTCAAGTATTTTCTATCTTTCTCGGGTGAAGGATTTCTTTTATTCAATAAAAAGATCATATTCAGAATCAGCACAAGAAACTGCATCGAACGAAATATGATACATTTATTTTACAGCGAAATATGTTCCTTTGATATTTTTTCACCATGAGATCTTCCTAAATTGAGTTACTCGAAAAAATTGACTGTTGAAGAGGATTGTTCTACTTTTCATCATTCACTAGGCTTAGGAGTAACAATCGTAGAGACAGAGCAAGTTTTTATGCACAAAAGAAATGCCATGTCCCCATAACAAACCACAGTTGTCCATTGTGCCAACCGCCTCTGTATCTTTTGATATCAAACTCCTTTCAGCTTGGAGGACTGTACTGAGCGAGCTGTTTGAAAAATGTTTTGTTGGGAAGGCAGTTTTCTTCTACAAAAAATAGTCTGTGTCAAGATTTCTTGAGCACATTTTCAATCACGATCAATAGTTTTATGACCCTACTCGAGCAGTGTCATATATTGTCTATATGTCTCACCATATATATGCCTCAATTTTTTCATGATTGGAGAGCAGAGAAACTCTTTGAAATGTTACTGAAGCATATCGAATGTAGTACTACAATATTTGGCAACTTGAGCTCTTTCATTGTATATATCATACAATGGCATTGAAGGTAAAGAAGTTGAATGGATTCAATCAGATTCTTATGGGTCCACCTGGTTTAAATTATTTGCACTTTATAACTTATTAAATTAAAAATTAAATTATTCTATTGTTTTGTGATCCTTTATGTAAGAAATATATTCTACTTTTAACATGATGTTTATTTATAAATCAAGTGATATACAATTCTCTCATGCCACCGATAGTAGATGCGGTCAGTTACCGCTACATTACCAAGTAACGAGTAACGAAATATTTGCGAATTTGAGTTTTTTGTTTAGGAAGGCCTATTATTCGAAAAAAATGATTTATTATAAACTTCGATGAAAAGCTTGTTCGAGTCGAAGAAACCAAATCTATGTAAGATTTGCGAAAAAAACAAACTCGAAAATTTTTAGAAATCAATTAGAGATTCGGATTCCTCCGCCTTCGAAACCTTTCATCAAACTGTATGCAATGTCGTTATTTTCGAAAAATAGCTCTTCCTTAACGGAAAAATCAAGGTTACAAATTTTTCGTTACTCATTAGTTGGTAACGTAATGGCGAGCGACCTTTCCCACTGTGGATTCGATGAAAGCATTATGTCTCATTTGGTGCATAAAAAAATATAATGTTAACAATAGGCTATATTTTTTGCATGAAGCATCACAAACAAGTAGAATAATTTAATAGAATTTACACTTTAATAAATTACAAAGTGCAAATAATTTAAATCTAAAATAAAATAAATCATTTATAGCTTGAATTTATTTTACATTAACGGGACAAATAAAACCCATAGGTTGTACCTAAATATAGGGGTGCATATTGCAAATTCATTAAAAAGCATAAGAATGTCCTACATATTTGGAGGGTTTGAATTCTCCAAACCACAAATTTTTTATTTTCGTTTTCTAGATATATTTTTACATGAGTTACACATTTCGTCAGGCGAGAGATATCCATAAATAACACTGATCATTTCAATTCTATGATCATTGGTGATCGCTCGTTGATGCACTTATCGATGAAGTGACATTATTCGTGCTGCAATGATTTGATAGAAAAAAGAATGTAAAGAATAGTTCTGATTCAGATATGTGTACGCAAATGCTCAGCTAGCACTAAACTGAATTCTCAATTTATTACTTCCTCAATACTAATTCTTCTCGTCGCTATCAAATACGAGTATACCGTGGTCTAACTCTTTCTTTGACTGAAGACGTACTATGCGAGCAGCTCTTATTATTGTCGCATATGATAGTGTCGATTATTTAGATGTGCTTGTTACATACGACATAGGATCATTTTATCATCCCATCAAGTATTCCACTGGCGTTTGGTCAAGGTCTGTAGCAGTTGGCGATTTTAATAACGACACCCGATTAGATATCGTTGTCACTAATCAGTATGACAACACTGTAAGTGTCCTTCTCGGCTATGGCAATGGCTTATTCGCAAATCAAATGACATTTTCAACTGGCTCCTCACCATTCTCTGCAGCTGTTGGCGACTTTAACAACGACACTCATCTGGATATCGTCGTCGCTAATAGATATGACAACAGTATAAGTGTCCTTCTCGGATATGGAAATGGCTCTTTTGCAAATCAAACGAAATATTCAACTGGCTCTGGCGGAGTATCTGTAGCTGTTGGTGACTTTAACAACGACATCCGACTGGATATCGTCGTTGTTAATGTTGACAACACTGTAAGCATCCTTGTGGGATATGGCAATGGCTCTTTTGAAAATCAAACAAAGTATTCAACTGGCTATCAACCATGGCCTGTAGCTGTTGGCGACTTTGACAACGATACCCGACTGGATATCGTCATCGGTAATTTTGGTGAGAACACTACAAGTGTCCTTCTCGGATATGGCAATGGCTCTTTTGCAAATCAAACGAAATATTCAACTGGTTCTTACCCACAATCTGTAGCTGTTGGTGACTTTAACAACGACACCCATCTGGACATCGTTGTTGCTAATTATGGTGACAACACTATAAGTGTGCTTCTCGGATATGGAAATGGCTCCTTTGAAAATCAAACGAAATATTTTTCTGGCTCTGGGCCCAGCTCTGTAGCTGTTGATGATTTTAATAACGACAACCGACTGGATATAGTCGTTGTTAATTGGAATAATAACACTATGAGTGTCTTTCTTGGATATGGCAACGGCTTTTTTGCAAATCAAATGACACATTCAACTGGTCTTAGTCCTTCATCTGTAGCTGTTCACGATTTTAATAGCGACACCCGACTGGATATCGTCGTCGTTAATGATAATGAG